AAACAACAACATTTCACCATTATTTTCTTCCTAAATCACAATTGCATATTTGAACTATTTCACTGCATTACTTGATTTTGAAAAGCAACAAGTCCTTGAGGATTCGACCTTGGATTACTTCCGAGTATTACTTATGACCGTGTGCGCTTGCACGAGTCTCTAATCTTTTTAAAGGTAGAGAAAATCCCAACAGTCGCCCATAAGCTGATCTTCCTCTTCATAGTTGCTGGATAGCTTCAGCAAATTCTTTAATCCATCGTGGGTGGCAGTAGATGTTGATGGGGCCTCCACTTTTTCAAACGCTCCAACACAGCAATGATGCTGGCCTCGCTCTTCTTTGCCTGTTGGCAAAATGCAGATTGGGCCTCTTCCATACGTGTCAATTGTTTTTGGATCTTCGCGAACTGGGCCATCATTTCATTGATGGTCGTTGTCGGCAAAGCTCCACGCGTGGTCAGGTCTTGGAGCATCAAGTGGTCCAACGTATGCTTGTCGATCACCAGCTTGTGCTTTATGATTTCCTTGTCATCAAGGACAAAAACATCTCGGCGTAAGCATAATTTGGTGATGAGGCTAGGAAAGAAAAGGCAGCCCGCTTCTTCGAGGCGCACTGAGCGATTTCATTATGGATGAGCTGCCCCACAACGATTGTCTTTCCTTCCATAATGCATGCCAGCAGTAGGACTCTGCGCTTTGTAATAGACGAGTTATGTCTAGTGGGCATGACCTAGCTCTTAACAAAGTAGAACCATACGTTGGCCTCCGTGTTGGGACTTTCTCTACCTTCAAAAGATAAGAGTCACGTGCAAGTGTACACGGTCATAAGTAATACTTGGAGTAATCCAAGGTCGAATCCTCAGGGACTTGTGCTTTCAAAACGGTTTTAAAGAAGTGAATGGTTCAAAATGAAATTGTGGTTTATGAAAAAAATAATGATGAAATATTGTTGTTTGGCGTTTCAAATATCAAACAATTTAATAAAACACAACCTCTCTACTTCCTACCTTAGTTTTGATGAAAAATATGGAAGATACACACTTCGGGAAAAATGCACTAGCCACTATTTAACTAAATCTTGGGAATATGAGTTCTACTCTTTCACGAACCACTTTTGGTTGTTGTAGAGGCTAGGGCAACCTACAATCATATTTCTATGTGTGATTACAATCCTAGAAAGTAATTATCAACTCATTTTCATTTATGGGTCTGAGGGCCTATGTTTAGGATCGTGTTTTATGCGCTTATGTCTAAGTCACATCCCATATTGGTTTCCTATTATTTTACCTAACTCACCCTTCTCAGAGTTGGGCTTTAGTGCATAAATCAAATTCCCACTTGCCACATGGAAAAAAGATGTAAAGTGAAGTTTTTAGAAACCAACCCAAGAAAGCACCAGGCGCAATTTGGGCAAATCTCGAGCATGTACGTAAATCAAATCATTTGACTAAGGCATTCCAAACAGAGGTCGGTAAATAACTTAGTGCATAATTACAGGAAAGAAAAAACACACAAACATAAAAGAAAGAATTTCCATTGAATTTAAATAAAGAATTACGGCGTACAAAGTGTTCTTGCTTGACCCTTTTCTCTTTCAAGTGTGAGGAGAGTGTAAATTCGCTTAAGAACTTTAAAAGAATATAATAGATGAAGAACAGAAGTACAAACTCGAATTAAAGGCAATACGATAAGTAAAAGAGTGAAAATACAAGAAACGAACAACTAAAATGTAACTCTAAAGCCTACGAACGAATCCTCTAGCTAATAATAAAAGAAAAGAGGATGAAAACGAGATGAGAATGGATGCTTTGCTGCTGGGGGAGTGGCTTCTTTTTATAGGTCCTCAAAGTGGTTGAAGTAGCCTCCATTTTTGGTGGAAATGGATTGAGATTCACACAACAAACTTTCCATGACTTGGACTCATAGTTTTGGGTTGATTCAAACATGTTGGACATGATTCTGTTGCCCTTCATTAAGTGAAACACATGTTTTGACCATGTTGACCAAAAAATTCGGTAGGTGCAATTCCAGCAAAAAAAGTTTTTCTCTGTGATTTTCTTCGAACTTTGACTGCATTTTTCTCACATTTTTCCTAAAGTACCATATATTGCAAATTATCCAGAAATGTTCTATGCATGTTCTACTTTAAGAATATGTAAGCTTTTTTAGATAATAAAGATGGGAAATGGGTCAAATTCGTGGTCAAACAGGCCAACCGCACACATTTTTTACAGTAAAAAATCAACCCTAACGCACCCTCAAACTTAGCCATTTGCTTGTCCTTAAGAAAAAAAAAACCAAAAAAAAACAAAAAATCCAAAACAATCAACATGCTAGAAAGATGAATGATCAACAATCCAAAAATTCTAAATAAATGAATCATATTCGTCTTAGGAAGAACTCAAGTTAAACCTCCTAACTTTAATCTAAAACACAAAATTTTTACAAAACCAAAGAATATGCACGCTTCCATTTTGATTCAAAAAGTTTAACATCCTGAAGACACTGGACCAGCTACTAGCTCCTGAGGTTTTCCACACACTAACATTGGTTTCCAACCACAGTTATTCATAGAAACTCTTTTGGTAGAAAACCAGCATAAAATGACGTCGATAATGGATTTCACAAAGTCACTTTAATATGTAGGCTACTACCCTCCAAGATGTTAACGCCACCCATTTAAAGATAAATAAATATCTACAGTGGAACTCGCAAAAAAGTAAGTGCATTTTCTTGCCGCTCATGTTTGTTACCACTCGTGTCTTTCTCTCACTTTTATTTTTCTTTCCCTAATTCTTATTTTCTCTCAAGATTCTTTTTTGAACTTTGTTTTTTCTCCTTTTGAACTCTTTTTTTCGAAAATTTTTCTTGCATATGACTCTTTTTTTGAATAAGACTCTTTTTTATTGCTTGCATTTTATTTCTGACTCTTTTTCGAATCATAAAAAGCATTTTCTTTCTAAAATAAAAAGACACCAACTGTCACCCCCAAACTTCAAGAAAACAGTGTCCTCACTGGGGAAAGAAATTTTTACAGATGCAAAATTTTGACACAAAAAGGACAAGGACTTCCAACGCAATGAAAAAGCTTAAGTTTTAAACAAAAAGAAGCAGAACACAAGTTTATAATCAAAACAAAAAGCGGAAAATGACTTAAGACTTAATCATAAAACTAGGAAATCTAACATTTTCATGCCCTTAAGTATCCTCGTCAACATGATACAAAAACAAAGAACAAAGGAAAGATTTTCATTAAAAAGATAAACATGTTGGGAGTTTAGAAAAGATGCAATTGAATAAGCTAAGGACAAACTCGTAGCTAGAACAAGGAAGCATGCAAAGCTTGAACTTAATGCAGAAACACAACCAACATTTCTAAGTAACAGCAAAACGTCCCACAAAAACTATCCTAAGACTAAAACTAACCTAAATAACCCAACAAGCAAACTAAAAGCACAAAAAGCAACCTATACAACCTAACATACAAGATCAAAATCCATATCCAGTATTCAAGCAAAAATAGAGAGATACTCCCCTAGTCATCATCTGAAGAATCATTGCCGGTAGATCGTGAAGATGAAGGCAAGTCGGCTTTTAGTTCATCGGGAAGAGAATCTGCACCATCTCCATAAAGCCCCTTGAGAAACTCACATGCGTCATGTTGAGTAGCCAAGAGCAGTTCGTATTTGTGCCTTAACTCATCGTACTGTTCTCTCATAGCCACGCCTCAGGTCTCGGGATCTGCGACGGTAATGGAAGAATCTTCCTCCCGAACGATCAAGTATCCCCGAACTCTCCTCATGGATGTGGCCGACTTCTTAGGCGTCACTACATCCTCATCATTGGCCTTCATTCCTGCTTTCAAACATAACTCTGTTATTACTCCAGGAAAAACAAGTGGACCTACCATTTTCTCCGAACAACTCCGAATTTCGTTTCTTATGAGTTTGCCAAAATTGAACTAAATGCGCTTCATTTGAATGTACACCATCATCACCCTATTGTGCTTAATGGAGGAATCATGGGAAGTGGGGATCAACCGGTTCTTTACTACATACATTCAGACAGTGCCTTGCTCATTGATAGCCAAGGGCTTCAAGGAAAGTTTTCCCGTTGTTGAGACGATCTATGATTTGTGCAGCCTGCAGATGAGTTTAAGAGCCTCCTCCACTTGTTCATCCGTCGGATGCACACAAATCTCATTATCTATTGCATCAAACACATCTGACAACCCATAAATATGAGTGTTAATAACAAAAGGAAAGAATCTTACCACCTTACCTCTTACTCTTACAGCATCTCCTTGGTTTGGGTGGATAGCAGCATAGAATTCTTTTACCAGGGCCTCTAACACCTGCGTAAGTGGGGCAAACAACTTTTCCCAACCATTCTCCACAAGTCGACGTTTGACATATTCTGGCATGGGCTCTTGCTCCTCATCAAAACCTTTCTCAACCAAGATACCACGGGCTGTGAAGTCAGGTTTTTTCACTTACAACCTTACCCTTTTGGCTTTTGATGCTTGTTGCTCAGTAGAAGTGGGCTCCTCTTCATTAACCTCTTCCTTTGAGTTATCTGCAATAGCAACAAAGTTGGGGTCAGAAACATTCAAACATGAAAATGAATGGGCCATACCTTTTGAAGAAGAGGAAGATGATTGCCCCGTGGCCTCATTAGGGACATCCACAGGATCAGATGCTCCTTCATGCACTCGAATAGGGGCCTCATTTTTATCTCGCTGCGACTCATGCACTAGAATATGTATTCGCACTTCATATTGGGAGATATCGTCGTTTTCTTCTTCTTCCTCACACTCATCTCCATGGACTTCTTGGGGCAAATCTCCAAGATCCTCATCCTCTCCATCAACATTCAGTCTTCCTTGAGCTTCCCTACTGTTTCCATCATCTTCCAATGGATCTTCTCCCGTTGCTTCATTCAAAGCCACCAAAATTTTGGTAATTTTTGATGTTGTCCTTTCCTGTTCTAAATCATGAAAAACTAAAGGTTTTTTAGTCAAAGTAAGATTTAGAAAATTAGGAGATGAAATACCTTGTAGTGTGGCCGATGGAGCATTCTCCAAAATTGCGCCAATTGGTAGTGGATTTCGACCGTTGCTGAATCTGAATGCACTAATGGCTCTATGTCGTCCTCAAAATCACCACTAACCTATTCTTGACTTTCTACATCCATTGCAACAGTAACGGAAAGAGGATGAGGGATAGACAACTCTAAAGAATCAGAAACATGATTGTTTTTAGGGGAATTCAACCTACGACATTTATTCATACCATTTAATTCAATTTGAATTTCTTCACTCATCCTCCTTGAATTTTCCATAAACCTTTGCCATTTTTTGTTTAATTCCGCTATCTTGGCACAAATAACTTCATTCTTCTTGTCCCAAATTTCCCTTTCCTTATTCTCAATGTCAACTTTCTCATTAATCCTAGCAATTCTTTCATCTAAATCAGAATCTTTATCACCCACTGATTGATTTTTTCTAAGGTAGACCTTGCTAAATCCTTCTAATTTCTTTTCACTATAGCCTCCTTCATTAACTCTAGCAACATGAGGTTCTAAAGTCATTTTTTCATAATTTTCATTGCTTATGGGTAGATTCTTTCAACGGTTCATTTTTAAAGCTTATTCTAATTTCTTTCTTTGCACCCTAGGATAAAAAATTATCCTTTCATGAGAGATTTAAGGGGGTTCAAGAGGAATAATACCTGGTGGAATAGGTGGTGGAAGTATCACCTTCTTCTTCTCATTCTCTTTGTCGCATGGTTTGGAGAATGAGGAGCCTTCCATGGTTCCTGATGTTATGCTTCACAATCAAAACAAAAAGTTCCACACTCTTGCCCTAATTTTACCAAAAAAGAGAGAGATGTGAGAGATTTTGGGGATTCTTGAGGATTTGTTGAGAGAAAATTGAAAACAAGTTGGGATTTTGGATTGTGAAAAACACAAATGAGGGGAGGAAAGAGTTAGGGCTTTTGTTTTTTGTTTTTCATTTTAAAACATATTAGGGTTTAGTAATGGTGCCTTTATGTTTTAAAATAGCCGAAAGCCCATTTAAACATAACCCAAATCAAGCCCACAAAAGCCCTAATCAAATTCGAAAATCCCATTTTTTTCTTAAATTACGCCTGGTGCATTTTTGAGGAGGACTGGATCTTGATTCTGCAAAATTCAAATGCAAAAACAAAAATTAGATTTAAAATCTACACAAAAAAAGCTTTAAAGAAAATGTAAAAATTTCGCAAAAAGAAGACAAAAAATATTTTACATAAAAACGTCCGCAACACCGACAGAGGGACTGTTCTCACTGATTTCTCATGGATCTTTCAGTAGTACAGAGGTTTTACCTCTGTCCATATGCTCACCAAAGTATTTTTTTACTTGATGCCCATCTACTTTAAAAATATTACCTTTCGAATCTCTTAAATCAACAGCTCCATGTGGATAGACATGTTCAACTAGAAACCGGCCCGACCATGTAGACTTAAGTTTACCTAGAAACAACCTTAATCTAGAATTGAATAACAATACTGAATCTCCAAGTTCCAAATCCTTATCCATTATTTTCTTATCGTGCCATTTTTTGGTTTGTTCTTTGTACATCTTAGAATTCTCATAAGAAAACTGACGAAACTCATCCAACTCATTTAACTGTAGCAACCATGCTTCACCTAGAATAGAATAATCAAAATTTAGTTTTTGCGTAGCCCAAAATGCCCTATGTTATGATTCTAACGGAAGATGACATGAAGGAGGGATTAACATCCTATCAATTGGTAGCAGAGGGGCGTTTATGTTATGAATTTTTTAAGATCAAAATATCAATTCTTTGTGGGTAATTCTGCATTTTTGTTATGTTCGTTTTGTGAATTGGATGTTTTCGGATTTTGGTATATATATAGTGTTTTTCTTCTTGATTTGATCATGTAAGGGCCCTTGGTTTTGGACAATTTGTTTCTGTATCGAGTCTGTAAGTCCGGGTCGCTCGAAAGCTATTCGTGGTGTCGGTTTGGGAGGAGTCAGCATTTAAGAGAACACTCATCTACTCCCCTAAAGTCGGGGAGGAGTGTATTCCATCTTGTGAAGTTATGTTCCCAGCTCCCCACTCGGTCTCGTCCCCAAAATGGTAGGAATGTTGAGTCGGCGACTCGGGCTACTCTCACCCATACAGATCAAAGAACGAGCCCTCACGGGTAGGAGCCCATAACTCACTCAGGATTGAGAAGAGTTGCCTGGTCATCCTAAGAAATGGCAATCTATTAGTTAACGGTGTTACATCTAAAGATTGCCTACTTCGCGATCCGGTCTTATACAAACTCATTGTATAGGATACCCCCACTCGCATGTCTCCACACAAACGACCTGGATCGAGTCGTCTGTAATCTTTACAGAGCGGGCCGTATCCATAGTGTTGTCAGGATAAGGTACCCAGCCTTATCCATATACTATAGACCCTTTAGGTTATTCACGGGACATTATCCATTCATATATCAGGGGTATATCAACTATATACCCAGTATATATACTGTCCCGATTACATCAAAAATAACCTTGGATGTTTAGTTTATTGGATTTTGGAAAATGCAAAGCTATGATTCAACAACAAATTTATTGAATAAAACTTTATTAAATAGACATATGTTTTTACAAAATACAAACTACGAGTTTAGGGCAACACACCCAACATAATTAATATAAGTGTTGTATTAATTAGATGAAAATAATGTTGCATTGAGCATGTCATTACTTTAGTAAATATAATTTTTATATTAATGTATGCTTGCAATGCATGTTTATAGATTTAATTTCTTGCGTTTTATAAGAGTTATAAAATTTTGGTAGATACAAATTAAATCTATAATAAATAATTGCATGCAAACATAGGGTCTAAGTTAATTAATTTTAAAGGGGTTTAAAATTAATTAGACCTTAGGTTATATCTTCTAATATGATTAGAGGGTAGTCTTTTCTTTTGTTTTAACTAGGTTTAAAATGAAATAATAAAAGACTAAATATAAAATATTACCTATAAGAGAATCCTGTCTAAGGAAGATTCTGTCTAAGCTGAGATATTTAAGCTGACCGTAAGGGAACACCTCTACCTAGGAACTGACCTGGGGGTTGAATTGACAATATTTTATATGCATGCAATAATGTCATTAGTTTATTAAAACGTTTGTTAAACTAAAAACATTAATGTACAACTTCCAATATAAATCGGTATATTGGGCCGACTAAAAATTCACTTATTTAATTTCACTTAACCGAGATTTACCTCAGTAATACACCCTAGTCTTTGAATACTAAGTGGGAGCAAAAAAGAATGTGTAATAACGATGTATATTTTTTATATACAAGGTATATATAACATTTTTTTTTCTCTCACGTTTCTCATTACTGTTCACACTGTGAGTTTCATGCTCGGCCTCGTGTCGCCTTGGGCGCGGCCTCCCTACGGAAGGTGTTTGCATGGTTCAATATCGAGGTGAATGGAGATAGTATTCATAGTAAGTGGGAGAATGACATGTGACAACACATCCTACGGTCTCCACAATTGTTTTGCACCGTGAGATTTCATACATGACTTGCGTGTCGTCCTGGAGTGACCATCCCTACGGAGGTTGGGTCCATTGTATGGAATTGAAACGAAGCAAACTCCAGAAATAGATAAGGTTTCTTAGGTTTTGCTCCAATTTTTTCCTTCCTTACGGTGGGATTATTGGGGCGAACCTTTAAGGTCTGAAAATGGTGGGTCACACTTATGAGGAGTTGTTAAGCTAATTAGCAATTCCCTGACCGAATAAACGATGACTACAGGTTATAGGAATAATAGTTATTCTGGTGTAAGTTTATTTGAGAATGTCTCAATTTAGTGAAGGGGTAGTTGAATGTTCTTTGCTGGCTATTGCTCTAAATCACTGAAGTATCGTTGCAAAAAAATTTTGTTAGGGTGCTTAATTACTTTTGCTAAAATTTGATTGGATTTAAAGGATAATGCAAGAAACTAATATAGGTTTGTTTTTATTTTCAGCATGCCTACTTCTATAATTGCACTCTTAGCCGCAGAAAATTTAACGACGAGAACTACAAACAATGGAAATCGAACATAAACACCATATTAGTGATAGATGATCTTAGGTTCGTCTTGTTGGGTGTGTTGCCTTAAACTCGTAATTTGTATTTATGTAGAAACAAATGTATATTCAATAAAGTTTTATTCAATAAATTTGTTATTGAATTAATAGCATTGCATTGTCCAAGTTCCAATAAACTAAACATCCAAGGTTATTTTCATGTAACCGGGACAGTATATATACTGGATATATATTTGATATACTAGCTATATAATTGATATACCCCTGATATACAAGTGGATAATGTCCCGTGAATAACCTAAAGGGTCTATAATATATGGATAACGCTGGGTACCTTATCCTGGCAACACTATGGATACGACCCACTCTGGAAATGTTACAGACAACTCGATGCAGGTCGTTCGTGTGGAGACATGCGAGTGGGGGTATCCTATACAATGAGTTTGTATAAGATCGGACTGCGAAACTCAGGGGTAAAACGGTAATTTGACCCAGCTTGAGTTACGAGCACTCGTGAAGGACTGACTCGTCATTAATGGTCGTATATTCATGGACACGAAAACATTCTACAGTGAGAAGAGTGCAACTGCGGGTCTTTAGTGGAATGACCCGTAGTTAACGAATCTTAATTAACTCAGTCAATGAGTTTGACCGATTAATCTTGCATCGTTGGAGCTTCTGATCTGTCGGTCCATTAGGTCCCCTTGCTAGCTCATAACGGGTAAAACGAGGATCAAGTTTTTGGAAGAATTTGAATTGTTCAAATTACTTAAGGGATTATATGTATATTGATACATTATAATATATAGTTAATTATAAATTAAAACTATATATTATGAGAGAAATTATTTGAATGAGATTCAAATAAAATTAATATGAATAAGATTCATATTAAAACTATAGGTTAAAAATAATGTGCATAAGATGTACATTAGAACTATATGTTATACGAGAGAAATGTTATAGAATATGATTCTATTCATGTGATAAATAATTAAGGGTTAATTATTTATTTGATATATATATATATATATATATATATATATATTAATTAATTAATATGATTAATTAATTATATATTAATTATTATTATATATATATATATATATTAATTATTAATATTAATATTAATATTTAACTCCCCTGCATTATTGCAAGGGAGTGGGGGAGTTATGTGACGTGGGGTAACTCCCCACGTCACTGGTTTTTTTCAAAAGCCAAGAACTGTTACAGAACAAAAAAAGGTGTAGAACTCCCAGTGATCTCTCTCGGTCAAGGATATCTCTCTCAAACTCTCCCTCTCGTTCCAACGAAACGCTCCCACAAGCGTGTTCTCGAAACCCAAGAGGATAGCAAGGAAGACTCGGTGGTGGTGTTCGGGTGGAAACCGTTGAAGAAAAGTTCTTCAAAGGTATAATTTTCCCCTGTATTTTCTTCTTATCGGTTTTGATTTTGTTTCCCAAATATCACGAACAACGGTCCGCTTCCGCTCCGGAATTCACATCCCTTCAGAAGTGGCTAGCTACTGAGTTCCTAATGAAGGATTTGAGCAAAGCTCAGTATGTTCTTGGCATCCAAATTCTAAGGGATTGCAAGAACAAAACACTAGCCCTGTCTCAAGCAACTTATATCGACAAGATGCTTGTTCGATATTCGATGCAAAATTCCAAGAAGGGCCCGTTGCTTTTCAGATATGGAATTCATCTGTCTAAGGAACAATGTCCTAAGACACCTCAAGAAGTTGAGGATAGGAGACGCATACCCTATGCTTCAGTTGTGGGTAGTTTGATGTACGCTATGCTGTGCACTAGACCTGACATTTGCTATGCAATAGGATAGTCAGTAGGTATCAATCCAACCCAGGATATGATCATTGGACTTCTGTTAAGGGAATCCTTAAGTATATTAAAAGAATGAGGGACTAAAAGCTCGTGTATGGCTCTAAGGATTTGATCCTTACAAGATACACTGACTCTAACTTCCAAACCGACAAGGATTCAAGGTAATCCACGTCGAGGTCAGTATTCACTCTTAACGGAGGAGCAGTAGTTTGGCGAAGCATCAAACAAGGATGCATTGCTGACTCCACCATGGAGGCTGAGTACGTTGCAGCTTGTGAAGCATCAAAAGAAGCGGTTTGACTTAGAAAGTTCTTAACAGATTTGGAAGTCGTTCCAAACATGAACTTGCCCATCACACTTTATTGTGATAACAGTGGTGCTGTGGCAAATTCTAAAGAACCTCGAAGCCACAAAGGACACAAACACATCGAAAGGAAGTACCACCTTATACGGGAGATAGTGCAACAAGAGGATGTGATCGTCACAAAGATCGCTTCGGAGCACAACATTATTGATCCTTTTACGAAGGCACTCACGGCTAAAGTGTTTGAGGGCCATCTAGAAAGTCTAGGTCTACGAATATTTTACGGTTAGTCCAGGGCAAGTGGGAGAAATGTAATGGGTA